GGTTTGTGTGTGTGTGTGTGTGTGTGTGTGTGTGACATCAGTGCCTCACCAGCCATAAACCTCACCACACGTCACTGATGCTTTGTTTGCAAATATACCTCTAGAAAACCAAAAATTGTAAATGTAGCATCCCAGGTTTGAGATCCAATCACCTTAGACAAGAAAAATAGACACAGTTTATTTTTTTTTTTAAAAAAAAAAAGACAAATTCCTCTTTTTATCCATTGATGTCATCAAGCCCAACTTGTCCACTCAATGCAGGAATCCATATTAAAGCATCCCTGATAAATTGTATCTATCTTCTTCAATACATCTAACGAAGGGTAGTCTTTTTTAATAAATTAATGTACAGTCTAACTCAGTGATTTTCAACTTTGGCAACCTTAAGATACTGTATGTGGATTTCAACTTCTAGAATTTTTCACCCAGGTTTGCTCATCTTAATATGGTCAAATTTGAGAAACAGTGCTCCTGCCATTGAGAAAATTTTCACAGCCCTCAATCAAAATCTAGAAGCTCTTCTTCTGAATTAGACCCAGGGGTGAAATGCTACTGGTTCGAGCCAGTTTGCCCGAACCAGTAGTAAAAAATGCTACTATTTTGGGCAAACCAGTAGTCAGCTCTGCGACAATCAGCTGTGCCGCATCTAGAAATCACGCGGCACAGCTGATTGTCGCAGAGCTGATTATCGGAACTTTTTAAAAAACTTTTTTTTACTATTTTTTTACTACCAGTTCATCCGAATGCTTTAAAAAAGTAAAAAAAAAAAAGATCCAACAATTATTTATGCGACAAACAGCTGTGCCGCACAATTTACTGTATATTTGCTAGAAAGCAGGAAATCCTGCTTTCTACAGAATATAAATTGCGTGGCACAGCTGTTTCCCCCCCCTTTGCTATTCTACTTACCTTTGCAGACTCAGAAAAGGCTTCTTAGTGCCCACGGTGTGCATGCACGCGAAGCGTGCTTTTGGCACACATGCATGTATGAAGCAAACCAGACTTCAGAGCATTTCACCCCTGATTAGATCATACTTCAAAACTTACAGTGCTTCCACATTAATGCTGTGTCAAACATTCACTCCTCTTCAAGTCTAGACTTTTGCAGAGTCAAAGCAGAGCAAGTGACAATAAGAAGAGGAGATAATTCTTTCGGCTTTTCCCCCTCTCCCTCTCCATATTCACATGATCTAACTAAAATGATGATAACATTTTACACATTTAATGAAGTAGATTAGTGTTTACAGAAGCCATAATAAAGAATTAGTACTTCAGAGGACTCAGAGTTATTTATACTTCCACTTGGTCCAAATGTCCTTTCTGATCCAAATTGGTTGAGTTCTCACAATGCCCCAAAACAATTGCCTTGTTTTAACTATGCCATATCAAATAAACCATAATGGTTGGGCTTACAGAACATCCTAAACCACATACAAATTATATTATGATTTAGATCACTTATTAACATGGACATGGAAAGCGGGGTTTTTGGCGGGGCTTTCAGAAAGCCCCGGCGCTGTGTCTGCCATAGAGGCGGGACGCAAGCCCAGGCGCTGTGTCCGACATAGAGGCGTCTCGCAGCACACCTCTATGTCGGACACAGCACCGGGGCTTTGGCAGGGCTTTTGGAAAGCGGGGCTTTTGGAAAGCCCCAGTACTGTGTCCGACATAGAGGCGTCCCACAGGACGCCTCTATGTCGGACACAGTGCCGGAGCTTTGGCGGGGCTTTCGGAAAGCAGGGCTTTTGGCGGGGCTTTCGGAAAGCCCCGGCGCTATGTCCGACATAGAGGCGGCCCGCGGGAAGCCTCTATGTCGGACACAGCACCGGGGCTTTGGCGGGGCTTTCCAAAAGCCCCGCCAAAAGCCCCGCTTTCCGAAAGCCCCGCCAAAGCCCCGGCACTCTCTGACATGGAGGCATGGGATGCCTCTATGTCGGACACAGCGCTGGGGCATGCGTCCCGCCTCTATGGCCCACCGCTGTGTCCAACATAGAGGCGTCCCGCCTCTATGGCAGACACAGCACTGGGGCGTCTGAAAGCCCTGCCACTGTGTCCAACATAGAGCGGCTTTTGCCCGCTTGCCTCACCAGCCTCACCGCACGTCACTGTTGGGAGAGAATGAGATTTTACAGTATCCTTCCTTTCCACGTCTACCAAGACACGCCCACCAAACCAAACCACGCCCACAGAACCGGTAGGAAAAAAAATGGAATCCCACCACTGGCTCCCATGTGGAGATAACTCACTCCATCCGGGGAAATTTTAATACAGAAGCAGTCATTTCTGTGTGGTACTTTCAAAAGACCTACCGGGCTAGAATTAGTAGAGTTTGAGAATATATCATCTGCCTTGATTTGTTCATAGAGCTCAGCCGTGGCTTTCTTTCTGAGACTTGTAAGGTGGTATCTGTCGTACAAATTGAAGAGGGCTGCAAAAAGGAGCAAAGAAACATTCTAGAAGCAGAGCCATTCGGTTTACAATTCTATCTTCAGTCTGAGTTCGTGGTATCTGTTCAGGCAAGGTTTGATTGACTGACTTGTGCCATCAAGTTTTTTCAACTCATCATCTGGGGCATTTAAAAAAAGCACTAAGAATCCAAAAACCAGCTGGTCTGTTTCTGGGACCGATGAATCGAGAAAGTTTAAACTGGAAACGCAAGGCCTTAGAAGTTGTACTGTTCTCAGTGCCATTTACCAAAAAACACATCCAGGACCAATGTATGTGGTGTCTGTAAATCAGCCTCATAAATATATATTTTTTTGAGCTGGCCAATCAATGCTCGAGTAATCCTCCACATAAAGTTCCTAAAGTAAAAGAATAGAAAGACATGCATTCTTTAGTAAATAGGACACAAGACTGGTCCACTTGCTAAAAGATCTTTAACATGTGTTTTATATATATTTATACACACACAATGCTAAACCTTCAAAAATGGTTAAGTGTGATTGAAACAATCTCAGACTTTCTCCTACCAATTCTCTCTGCTTCTCTAGCCAGAAAAAATTACAGAAAAACAGGGGCTGATATTGTAATTCAGTTAAATGTATTACAGTATGTATCCTGTAATTATTAATGTAATGTATTAATGTATTATCCTGTAATTATTACTCTGAGAATTTACATACTGAAGACAAATTCCTTGTGTCTAATCACACTTGGCCAAATAAAGTATTCTATTCTGCCCTACTCTATTCTATCCTATTCCTAAAAAATCATGAGATTTGGATGCATAGCCATTTGGATGTTTTTGTTTCCACATATCAGATCCACTGAGGAACCAACTAATAGAACTACAATATCAAAACTACAATAGCTTTTAAGACCTAGACAACGTTTATATTAATAATCTGTTCTTTCTTCCACATGGTGGTCCATGGAAGAAATAATCAAGCATTTTCACCGCAAAAGGAAATAATAGTACAACAACAAACTGGAAATGATGGGATTAACCAGATTATGTTTTCCTGCATGAAGTGGATTATGATTTGTGAAAGCTCCAATTTTAAAATGCCATAAAGCTCAAACAAAAGATGAACTAATTCTCTTTTTGTCCTGAGATCACAGAAACCATGTGTCTGTGTGTGTGTGTGTGAGTGTGTAGATGTTATTTTCAGTGTTAAATTGTGTGGCTTGCTTAGGGATCTTTACTGAATCACAATTGTTTTACATTACTTATCCAAGATAATTATAAAATAATCTGGCCATCCCCACAAGAATAGCATTAATCACTGAGATGTTTTTTTAAGGTTTAGGTTTAAGTTTAGTTTTAGGCAAATCTAAGTATTCACAGAGAAATTTAGAAAGTTTCCATCTGCAGAAACGGATATTAAATACCAAACCACAATGGAGAGATATTGATATTTTGTGATTAAGGATATAAGAAGAGCCATGCCTGATCAGGTCATAAGTCCACCTAGTCCAGAATTTGGTGGCACAAGGTGGCCAACAGGGTACAATAGGAAAGTTCATAGGTGTATGAATTCGTAGGAGGCAATAATTCCCTTTCCTCTCTTGCTTGCAGTGATCTTGAGCTGTCTTAAAAACAGAGGTCAGCACAGCCTCCTTGCAGCACAGTGTCAGTGCAACAGGCAAAGAGAAGCCTAAAGTTGTGGAGATTTGTGTCCCCCTTTTATAGATTTACAACAATTACAATATGCATTTAATTTGCTGAGCAAGCTTCCAGCAACTGACATTCCAGCCCAGTGAATTCAATTCTGTAATATTATACATTGCATAAAGCTATTTTCATACCTCAATAACCTGTTTGTAAATCTGAATGGTTATTGCTTCATTGCAAGCAGTGAAGTCCAACAATTATTTAATTGTGGCTGTATGCAAGTAATAAAGTAAAACTTTTTGTAACCAGAAAGTGAGTGCCGCTTTTATTGGGCCTGGATGGAAGCAACATCCATTAGTTCCCCCTGCTGGTTGAAGGGTTATTGGTTTGAAGGATTAATTTTAGTTCAAGAGGAATTTGGTAAGAAATTGACAAGGACTCATTGGTTATGAATTTACCTTGGAAACAGCTTTCTTGGAATAGCAAATGCGGGGAAAAGAAACACACATAAATAATCCATAATTAATATTGTTCTTTTACCTGCCTAAGACTCCGGATCAGTTCGTCTTCTTCTGCACTCAGGCGGTTGAGTTGGCAGTAGGTCATTGCAAGCAAAATATGCCGGGCATGGCACCAATAAGTGGAAGGATGGCCTGGCACCCAGGTAGGTAACAGCCTGCCTCAGAATGAGGGAAGACACAGGATCATAAAGAGATAGATGGGAATCATAAATATAGTAGGTAAAAACTGTTGCCTGGGTTGCAAACATATCTCAGAACATTTGACTTCTCCCTGTTGTAATTCTAGATCTCCATCAAGGAGTTCCAACAATTTTGAAAAACATTAAAAGACAGCAGAGTCTTTAAAATTAATGTGAAGGTTGGGCTTCATTCATCTATGGATATTAAGGCGTTTGCAGGCCTTCATCTTTGCTGAAGATAGAATCTGTAGTTTTAGGCCTGTGTTGAATTGAGACCCTGATTCCCGCATCCATGTAGTTTTCTTGGCAGAAGTTTAGAATTCTTAGACAATCATGTATTCCTATACTATTCAGGCCAAATCTTGTTTAGCTTCTGATAGAAACTAAAGTTGGCTTAAGTATTGCCAGCGGCTGAGATGACAAATAACAAAAGTAGTCTAATAATTATTAGTCTCTTACAGCAAGACCATCACAGCATATCCACCGTACAAATGGAAGATATTGTGAAATATTCATATGTATATTGCAGTACAATTTGCATTCAAAGAAGATTTAATATTCATGTTGTTAAAATCAAATCCCATTTCCATCCAAGGCCCAGTTGACTTCAATTCTGGATAACTCCCCAAATTACTCATTTGTTAGTTTATAATATTTTGTTCAAAATGGTCCAAAATTGGGCATTTTACTTATAACTTCTCAGTCTTATCGGCTAGCATTAATATTTCCTGACACTGTATGCCCCTTCCTTGCTATGTTCTTCTGAATTTCTAGTCTACAGCAGTGTGAATCCTGAATCTATTTATTTATATTTTATATTTCTGAACTGCATAGTTCCCTCAAAGAGGCATCTACGTAGAGTTAACTTTTATAAATTGACAAATTTGTAAACATATCCTGGGAGAATCAAAACTGGGTTAGAAGCCAATATTGCTGCAAATATAATTTAGATATCTGCATTTGCAATTTGGGAAAGATTACAGCTGTGTAGAAATCTTCAGGGTTTTACTGATTAGACAGTATAATACTGTGTTGGCTAATTTTATTCAACGTCTCCTTGATAGCAAAACAAAATGCAACACAACTTTAAAGTGCATACCACAACTCAGGAAACGGTGCATTCATTCCCTCCCAGCTGTACACGTTCACAATAGCCAGCCAGACTTTCCCCAAATGTATGCAAGTAACAAGAGCACCACCTGGAAAAAGAGTTGTCAGTGGGGATGAGAGGGAAGCAGCACCCACTCTAAGTACAAGAACCACAAAGCTTCACAAATCTATAGAGCTATATAACTTGCTGATATATTACTTGATTTGCTTTGATAATGGTGAAGCTGATTACCTTCTCACTATTTCAGGCTTAATAAACATGTATTTAGATTTTGATGATTGGATTAAATTAGATTCTGTATGTTTAAAGACAATGCATCCCTTATAAAGTTAGAGAGTTCAAGACTGTTGCCCTTTATCTATATGGAAGAGAAGGATTAAAAGTTTAGAATGACCAGCAGGTTTAGCACTTAGCTGACCATCTCTCTACACTCACCAAAATTGCCTTTAGAAAAGTTGCTGAACTCTTTGGCTTGCTTGGCCTGAAGCAAAAGGCATCTATACCCAATAATTAACACATTTTCAAAACCTTTCTGCCCTTAACAGAGATAAAAGCGAAGCAAATATGTCAGGCTTCAGTCAGAATATAAGAATAATAGCCATGTTTAAAGGTGCCATTATAATAGAAAGTAAAGGCTCTTACATATTCAAATGCATAAAAGTCACATGGATGGGAGGCCTTTGACAACATATGGGGAGGGATCATTTTCATGGATAAATATATGCCTGGAAATTTCTGACTTGATTCTCACCTTTTTTATGGAGAGAGATTCGAGCCCTCACTATATCTGGATGGTCCGGTCCATATCCAAGGATTCGCATAGCTATATAGTTGAGGGCTGTGCCAAAAATGGTTGGTTGTTGCTCCCTGAGATGGCTACCACACAGAGATTTAGAAAAAGAAGTTTAAAAAGACACACATTTCTTGGATCTCTAAATCCTCTATCCACAGACAAATTTACAATTATCTTCCTTGGGTACTTTCTATCATTCTGAGAGTACCTGCTAGTATTATTTGATTAATAAGCTTCAACATTCTTGCTAGAATTGGAAATAAAACTTTAGAATTTAAGTAAGGTGACCAGATTTTCAGATTGGAAAAGAGGGACGCCCTTGAAAAAAAAAGGGGTTAAAAAAAGATCACCCCAGGACACTGAAACCAGCATAAATACGAATCTGTTGCCAAACAAAATTTTGATCACGTGACCATGAGGATGCTGCAACGGTCGCTAAGTGTGAAAAATGGTCGCAATGGTCGCTAAGTGTGAAAAATGGTCGCAACGGTCGCTAAGTGTGAAAAATGGTCATCAGTCACTTTTTTCAATGCCATTGTAACTTTGGTCACTAAATGTTTTCCCCCTCCTCGAGACTCCTCACTTCTTCTTGCTTTTCTATATTATCTTCACTGACACTGTTAGTTTTATTGTTTTCTTGAAGAGATATTTTATTATTCTTTTGTAAATCCTTTTGGATTTTTTCATGAAGAATTCCAGTATAAAAATAAAAAAAACAACACCATAGAGTAAGCTATCTTTTTCAAATACACTTGCAGTGGCAACCTATTACATATTACCTGGCAAAAGAAATCAGTGTTTCTTAAAATCTCTCCTTGGAGTCCAGAGGGTC